GAACCCTTCCCGATTTATTCACCACTGATACACATGGATATGCACAAACGGGAATCTCTGCACCTACATCCACACTCCCCCCCCCCCCCCCCCCCCCCCCATCAAACCATCTCTCTGGCTCTCTGTCCAATTGAGTTTGCAGGTCCGGTAGCACAACATAATGAGGTTTTCACACTGAGACACTCCAGCTGGAGAGAGAGCGGCGGGGGGGAGGCAGTGTGAGGGGGAGTCGGTGGCTGTGACACAGAGGGAGAAGGCGAAGGAGAGAGAAAGGCACTAGATGATAATGTATGAGCTGTCGGCGGTGCGCTATGGTGGGGGGGGAAGCGCGGTGGTGTATCTAAAAAGAAGATTATCATGTCAAGATACAGCAATAGCTCGGTGAACACTGACTTTCATTGGATGTCTGTCTGGGTGTGAATACCCAGAGTGGCTAATCAGGAGAGGAGGCTGTGCGTTGTCTCCTTGTTGTCTCATGTACTTAGCAAGCTGGGGTGAAACCAGAACCAACCAGCGATGATTCCTTCCGTTTTGTGAGCAGATAGACTGTCTCTCGCATTACATTTACTCATCGTGAAAAGGAGGCGCGCACATCGTTGTCTTTTATTCAGAAAACCCATGGAACAGTTTTCCATTCACTGGTCGGAGAATAGACTCCACAATCTGTAATTAACCTGTAACTGTAATTACTGTGAGTGTTTCATGCTTTTGTAATAGTTGCTGTTTTCGATCGGTCACCGCGAGTTCGATAACTGTAACTCAATCAGCGGAAAACACACCAGAGGCGCAATCGTCCTCTTTGCTGGATTGCTTTACGAACCCACAATGCACCAATAAAGCTTCAGCTACCCACGGATCCACAGTTGATGATGTTTACTTGGTATTGTGTCGTAGTAGTTGATGATTTAAAACAGTGTTGACATGATTTGTGTTGTTAGAAGTGACTCAACCTCTGTTATTACTTTGTGTGTGTGTGTGTGTGTGTGTGTGTGTGCGTGTGTGTGTGTGTGTGTGTGTGTGTGTGTGTGTGTGTGTGTGTGTGTGATAATAGCTGAATATCGTGACCTCAAATTCAAACCTTCAACCTACTATTGTGTGAATGGTACTTTGACTATTGACATATGGAGTGAACACCAAATAATAAAATTCCATTTATAGTTATTGGTCCCTGATCCCAGGGAGGTCGCCTGTTCTCAGAACTATTATTGTTATCTGTTAATAATCTTATTGACATAATAATATTTAGTTTACACACATTCCAAGAACCGACCACGCTCCTACCACCTGTCACAGCGCTTATTACCCAGATTCCCTTCATCAAACAAAGCAATGACGGGGCTAAAGGCTGGTTTGGTTATAGGTTTGTTAATGTTGTCTTTTCAACAATTATGAGTCTCAGCATGAATGCTAACCCTTTATTTTATAACTGCAGCAGCTTATGGTAGCATGGCAACATTAAGAAGTCAGAGCAGGACGGAAGTCACACACATTACTTCCTCTGCTACAATGGACGTCCTATCGAGTCAGTTCTAAGAAACTGGACATAAGTTAATAATTTTGCACGTTTGAATCACTTCTGTTGGTCATTTTGTTTTTTAAGAGCTTGTTGGTTAATATCTGAAAAGGTTTGTCATTAAGAGGAATTTATATTATTTGATATGTATTAAATCTATATTTAGTTTGATGAGGTAAAATGTATCAGTAAACCCCTCTCGCTTCTAAGTGCCTTAAAATCAATTGTTCAAAAGTTGCTAATCAATGGCTAAATTAGACTAAGAAATGTAATTGTGGCAACCACGTTATGTGGTGTAGTTTGTTTACAGCTGGTTAGTATCGTAATTTCGTGTTGACAGACCTTATTTAATGCAGTCATTTAAAATCTCATTAGGTTTTTGTCGAGGGAATCAGACCACTGCTGAGTTCTGTGGTTTGTCAATAAAAACACATCATCACTGAAGCACTTTATGGAATAAATAAGTATGGGATTACCTAAAATTCTTCAGTTTTCATATTACCATGATGTCAAGTTATTTCTTAGCTTTGCAGGGATGGATAATTGACCTTAATAAGCCCATGGTGAATTATGATGTGTACCTATGAGTTAATAGTTAATAGGTGTAAAAAAGCCTCCCAGTGAGCTCGATTCATTTTTATCTTATTTAACTTCTCCAAAAGATTTGCATTTCAATCATGAGAATTCAGACGTGACATAATTTCATATAACTCTGTTCCAAATAAAGCAGCCGTCAGTGCGAAGGGTAAAAAGGGTAAAAAGGATGCAATGACTTAAGTTGTCAATCTGAAGTTTCACTGTGAAGAGCTGTGTTTTTTTAATCGTTTTCTAGTGTGCTCTACTGTACGCCCCCTATTGATTCCGGTTTCAGTCATTACTAGGTGACTAGTGAACCTCAGCAGGGCTGCCTGCTTCCCCCTGAGAGTTCATCAACACTACAGCCCAGAGCATATAATCTTTGTTATGTGGTCAATTTAGCAGTTGGCTGAGCACAGCTTGAAGAGAGAAGCTACAACAAAACCTTTCTGCAAGCTCGTAGCCCATCAACATGCAACAATAGCACTTCTTTAGGAAATAACAATAACAATTCCTATGACATAAGAAGTAACACAACATTTTTTTTGATTTAATCTAGAAGCATAATAGTTTCTTTTCTATTCATTGTGTTAATTGTTCGCTCCCTTTGCTAGCAACCTTCCCCTCAGCACTCTCTGTTTAGGTGAGTCAATTAGCCGGAATCTATCAAGCCGGGTTCTGCTCCACTCCCTCTCTCACCCCCTCGCATCTCTGCTGTATCTCTTTTTAATTCATTTTTAATTCCCGTGATAGACAGTGAACCCAAACCCACTGATCTGGAGAAGGTTGATGAAGTTGTCGGGCGCGTGGTAGGAGCGTGTTTCATTATTAGCAGTGTAAAAACAAAATTATTGACATCGATATAATTATTATTTTCAATACGAAGATAATAATAACAGAACACCACCCTGTGACCAGTGGACAATAACCAAACTATAAATTCAATTTGTGTTTCTCAGATTTGAATTTGAGCACAGGTTTTATATACATTATCACAATACACATGCACAGTTCAAGTAATAAAAACTGCTCCTTAAAGTTTATTAACTTTTAACAATATTATTACATGTGACCTCGTTAGCTCCCATCTTTGTTCTAACAGCGAGGTTGACCTTTCTCTAGTGAGAGTCGGCACCGAACTGTTTTAGGTTTCAAAAGAACCACATAAATTGGTTTATTGCATCAAGGCTTTTTGACTTTAACAGGAATCTCTATTTCAACAAATCAAAAACAAAAGGCTTGAAATTATGACCTTTGAATCGTTAGGGTTGTTTTTATAATAACTCAAAACCAACACACTAACATAAGAGAAGTAGCAGAAAGCTAACACAAGAGGAAAGTTAATATACCAACAAAGAACCAACAGAAGTAGAAGAAACCTTCCTCCCAGAGTTTAAAAGTGTATCAACAGTGAGTGCATCTATGTTTTTACATGTCTCTATTTCCCAGTAAAGTTAACAAGCTGTGGTCACAGTTTGAAGCGTAGTCCGTTGGATGCTCGTCGTAGAAAACCCATTTCAAAGAATCTGAATGAGACTGCCATGTAAATGAAAGAATAAAGAACTTGATCTATTACTTGAGTTATATGTTGGCATAAGGAGCCCTCATATATTCTACTCAAGCATGTGTAACAATACCGCAGTATCTATGAACAGCGTGTCTGTGGCATCGCTCCCGTGGGAAATAGCAAGTAGCGCTCTGTGGGACAACCTGGTGCCACAGAAATACTTAAAATGACCACAACAAACATACAGCATGGTGGCCTTTTTTAGCAGACACAGCTATTCAAGGGTTAACAGTTTAATGATGCAATTGTGCCAATGGTGAAAAGAAGTAATAATCATTTGACCAAGATTAAAGTTTGTCTTACAGACAGTTTTACTCTGTGTTGGTTGTTAAAGAAGCTAATTAAAACCCTCATGAAAGCCTCCCCTCGGGAGCCAGAAAGATTAAATACCCTCATGTGTCTTCTCATTCCAGCTGCACAGCACAACAGAAATGGAGCAACGCTTTCACAGCATGCATAGTGTGCAATGGGTTTGAAGCGATTCAGCTGGGATTATTTTCAGATGCTGTATTAAATAATGTATTAATCTTGATGGGGGAGTTACCATTATGATGTGTAATGATAATGCAGCTGGAGATGTATAAATATAGCTTCAGTTTCTTTACCAGGTCTCCTATTCAATACAGTTGAGGTTTAGTGTGGCGATTAATTGCTTGTCAGATTTTTTTGTTTAAAATTGTTCATATGGTGTAGTGAAACCTTTGTTAATCCCTTTATGTCTTGTTTCAAACCATATTTGTGTGTATATTACATCATATTACATGTCATTCAGCTGACGCTTTTATCCAAAGGGACGTACATTAAGTGCATTCAACCATAGGGATACAAACTCAGAAGAGCAAGAAACAAGAAAGTGCAATTTTGTCAAATAAGCCAATTTACAATGTGAGGGTCTCAGGACAGAGGATCTCGCATGTGTACAGACTGTAAAGCCTTCTGAGCCAAATTTGTAATTTGTGATTTTGGGCTATACAAAATAAAATGAATTGAATTCAATATATACATTATCTTCTTAGACCATGGCGACTGTGTTTATTCTCCAAATCCCCTTTTATGGGTATGCGTGTTATACTGTCATACTGTGAATACTGTGAATTGATAGTCCGTCAGTCGATATATTGTCATTGTGGGGCGCACATCTGTGTCTTCGGGTCCCTGCTCTTTGACACGTGGCCTGAGCCCCCCAGCAGAGCCCCTGTTGCTGAGGGGAAACCAGCTGCACACTCATCCAATCCTCCTGCCGGTCCTCCCACCAATGGAACAGCCCGGCGCCACCGATGCACCCCTGCCATCGGAGAACATTTGGTACATTCCATCGGTGGTGCTCGAGCTGGTTTATTCACCGAGTCAGTAGTAACACCGCAGTTAGCCAAACGGGAGATTGAGCGCGCGCACACACACATACATACACACACTCTCACACACACTCAGCAGTGAGGAAGAGAGTTGCAGAAAGAAAGAAGCAAAGACATCCTCAGCTCGCCCAAGAGTGTCAGTTTCCTCGTTGTTTGGAGATCCTTGATATGACCCTCTTTAGCCCGAGATGTGAGTATTTATCAGTGTGTGTGTGTGTGTGCGCGTGTGTGCGCGCGCGCGTTTATGCATGCATTGGTGGATGTTTGCATGCAGCACTGTGTGTCGGAAAGACAATGTTGCCACTGTGCTTCTCATTGTTTGTCTTGCCTTCATAGAATCCGCCTGCTAGCCGCTCTGAATCCTGGCTCATTTACACTTTCCCCCCCCGGAGCAGTTTGTCCTTACCCACACGTTGTGACCCAGTCAGCTGGTGCATTTGAGAAGGATCGGTGGAATGTTTCAGTTATGATGTAAACATAGTGATGCATGAAGAGGTGTTTCTGACAACATTAAAACGGTGTATTTACAGACATTCAAATCAACCTCTCGCAAGCCTCCCATTGGCAAGGTCAGCATTTGCTCCCCGGGCATGGAAGCTCGTGAAACAGAATTAACTTATGTCTGGTGATGTACTCAAGCATGCCCCCCCCCCCCCCCACACTCCTTCCCCCACAGCTGTTGAATTTGAATTATGCATCTTTTTTTCCTAAAATGATCTGAGCTGTAACATCTTCCATACCGGGGAAACAGTACTTTTCCCACAAAGCTGCATTTCTTTTAAGTCTCAAGTAAAGTGTGTACGCATATATAATAGAAGATGAAAGCCTACAGTGAAAGGGAAACTCATCCCAGGCTGCCTCCCCGTGGTTTGCATAATGTGGGATGTTTGAGAAGAGTCTGCAACTCAGATCATATACAGTCACTCTTCACTCTTTTTTTTGCTGTCAAAAGAGACACTTTTCTGGTTCACACCAACAACTCTGTTCTCAACATGCCATCTATTCATATCAACCTTTCATATTTATTTACTTATTCAGTTATTCATATGTGCAGTATGCTCCAAGTTCTATGCTGACAGTTGCGATTACTAACTTTGCATTTGCCGCTTTGCTCACAGTTTAGTTCTAGTATGTGACATGGAGAGGATGCAGCACGACCAAAAGAAGCCTCCACGCTGAGCTTTTACGTCCCTTATTTTACAAACTACCGTTTCTTCATATTTTGGCTGGCAGGATGGGCTGATTAATTAACTTTGAGGAAAAAGAGGACTTAAGTGCTATGAGCGCATTCAGGTGAAAACCAGCAGAAAGAAAATGTTCAATCAATCTGAAATTATAGCAGTTAGAATGTGTGTCAACATGCATACTATTTTCAAAAAAGAAAAGTTTAGGGCAAAATAAAACGGGAACTACATGTCATTTTTAAGAATGGAACAAATATTTATACATATATTTATGTTGCTTTATTGTAAATAGTGTTTTATATTGACAACTTTGTTCTGCGCCAAGATGATCAAAAGGTTAAACGTTTGAGTGTCTTTACCAGTTAGATTGAAAATCCCTTGGCTCATAGAGGGACATGTACAATACAAAAAAATTTAATAATTAATTAATAATTAAATGACGTTGTTTCTTGAATCTGCCAAAGCCCATTAAAGTAAAATAATTATGGATTCCCAGTTTAGATAATTGTTGCAAAAGCCTTTATTCAAAATGGCTTCATTTAGTCTTTTATGATAGAATGTGTGAACAGTACAAAACATTGTTTTTCTTCTTACACTGAAATACTACTGAAAATGTTCAGCAGTCAGCGGGTCGACCACTTGTCAGGTTGACCTTTTGTGCTCAAAAGTCAATTGGGTGATTAAGAGATCAACTAAAAAATACATAAACATTTAAGGGACGTGGTGCAACCCATTGCAGGACAATTTGTAGAATCAGGAAGAAAGAAAATGATAGAAGACAGAAGATTGAGTGTTTGATTGAAATTAATTATGGGATTATCCCATCCTCCACAAATCAGTGGTCTTCAAAGTGCACAGATTAATAGACGGCTCAGTACTAAATTACATCTTCCTATGCGCAATACTGTGTTAACAATTTTCTCAGAGTGTGTTTGTGAGTGTCAGGTTTCAAGGAAGTTTGTAGTGGGGGATTTATTACTGGCAAGACTGAAATTCTCGGTGAAGCAGCAGTAGTAGTGGAAGTGTGTGTGCGTTTGTGTGTGTGTGTGTGCGTGCGTACATTTCCACAGAAAAATGACTTTACTTGCCAAAAAAAGCCTGTGAACATAAAATGAAAAAAACAGTTCCTCCTATTCGTGTGTTTTAGCGGAGTCCTTGACTGTGGTGATGTTTTGATGATGCTCTTGAGTGTTAAGGTGGCATACATGAATCACCTAAAGCTAATAGGTAGTGATTAAAAATATAATTACTAGTTTACCCTGATAGGTGAGTTGTCTCATCAGTGGGTGCAGGGAGGTTGAAAGCACAGGTTCCGACAGAGCAGCTTTCCTGGAGCTCGTAGAGAATCCAAGGACACGTCAGCAGTGTGGATGCTGACAGACTGGGGTCTTCAAATGCCTCCTCTAGAGATGCAGAATAGTTTAGAATAAAACAAAAAAAAGCCTTTCCGCGCTGTGGTGTTTTTTGTTTCCAGGCTAGATGCAGATGCAGCTGCTTTTCAGCTCCTCGTTGGCTGACCATGGTTGACCTTGATGCCCCCTCTGGTGCCCTTTGCTTCCCATTATACCGTGTTTGTTTCAGTATAATCTACCTCTACTGGACTCGGTTGGGCTTCTTCCTCATCTGTGATGTGAATACTGACTGCCCATAGAATGTTAGACATGCCGCCCATGATGATGACACGAATACCATACAAACAATCTTGTCATGTGTAGTTTTCAATAATAGTATTTGATGCATCCCAATGTCCGTTTTGGCAAAATGTACCAATGCAATAACAAGATACATAAAAATACATCTCACTAATAACAAAAAGTGGCATGGATAATATATCATTTCTATTGTGTGCATGTTGCCAATATTCAAACTTAGAACATCCATAAAACAAAACAGAAAGTCAAGATCAAATCCACAAAAATGTGGAGGAGCTGTGAAGCGCACACACACACACGCGTGTGCAGAAGAAGCTAAATGTGACACGTAGGCCTTTGTTTACCAAATAACACGCTGATTACCTCCCAAGGTTTTACCCGTACTTTGACACGACTGTGCTCAGCAGCCTCCTCCAGTCTTCCTGTTATAATGGCTTCTTCATGCAGTCAATCATGCAGTCGTCATGTTGCTCAGCAAACACATTATAAAACTCTAAACTGTGTTTCCTTCTGCCACACAATTACGTCAACCCAATCGATGCAGATCAGGAACTGTCCAGTATGTCTTTAAATATTCGTTATTTATTTTTTTGTCATGGTGAAAATATCAAACTCGCAGAACAAGAATGGCAGGAAGTGTGATGGAAATGTCAGTAATATTTGTACAACATAATTTCACTTGTGGGAAAATCATTTTCTAGTTTCATGTCAACTTTCTAAAATCTAAAACGTTCTGTTAATAACATAGTTCATATTATATCATATTTTTCACAGATCCTTTGAAATGCCAGAATCATTTTCATATTTTAAATATGTGTTTAATTTGGGTCTGCATCCCTAAAATCAACAATGCAGTCACAGCAGTATTGTGCATGCTCGCTCTGCTCAGTAAGAGTTAAGGTGTCCACAGTAAGGGCCTGTTCCTCACCAGCGGAGTTGGCTGCAGAGAAGCAGGTCACTGTTTGACTAAAATTTGTCAGGAAATGGTCTCTGCTGCGGGAGGTAAAGGCACATACACGTGTCAAAATTCACACATTCAAACCCATACTTTATTAATTGTAGCTTGCAGCCATTTGACAGTCCCACTGTGTGAGTGTATGTGCAGCTGGCCCAGTCACACTCCATTCACCCCCCCATCTGTCCGCGTCAGACCGGCCCAGTCTCCTCCTCTCATTACTCCTTCACTTGCTTCCCTCTTTTTTTACACTCACCTTTGGAAAGTCACTGGTGAGCCCCGACCAACCTGAGCAGTGAGCTGTTGGCATATCCTGTAATCAAGATGGCTCGTGGTTAAACGGCCCATTGGAACATGTCTGCAGAGCTGTTTGCAGGAGAGATGTAAGAAGACAGAGAGAGATGGGCTTCGGCTTTTGAGGCTGAAGTCTAAAGCTGCACCCGATGTCTGATGTAGGCTTGCAGGCGGGAGACAAACATGGAGGTGGCTTAGAGTGGCAGAAGCAATCAACGGAGAGTGGTGGTGTATGGATGCATTTGAAAAACAACGCTGTTGGTCTTAGCCAGCCCTTTAGTCATTATCATGTCAAATGATGACAGCAAGTGGGGTTAATTTTGCTCCAATAAAGAGTAAACTAGGGTGTAGGATAAACATGACCAGACAACGTAGGGCGTTTTCTGGTTGGATAACCACTCGAACAGTCCTCCTTGTGCTTTGCCCCTGCTGTCTTGTGTTATTTTCATGCTCTTTGCTCAATCAGTACAAGGTTAATTGGTTTCACTTCCATGCAGACATGAGCATGAGTGGAGAGTTGAAGTCCAGCCGCTCCAGGGCAGCGAGTAAGAGGGCCAGCAACACCATTTATGGGTGAGTATTAAAAACCCAAAACGCACAGACACACACTCCTGTCCTCACACACTAAGATAATCATGCATTCGCTTATTTGCTGCAACCTTTTATCGGAAACTCAATGGCTGCACCCCAGTGTTGCAATCAATGCCGCATTATTTGTTGTTGGCTTCATACCAACTGTGCATGCAAGCTGCTATTGATTTTAGCCGGAGGGGCTGTCTCCATCCCTCAACGTTTTAATCTCTCTGTTGATGCAGTGCACACATATGACTCGAGCTGATTACTGTTTATTGCTGGTGGTTCAATACAGTGCCGTGGTGCTACACTAACATGAACTGGTTGTTTAGATAGCTGTCAAATAGAATGGAGGGCAGTGGGAGAGACGGCAGTGTGTCGAATTAAGGTAATAATAGTTTTGAATTCTCTTTTTACTTTTATTCTAAAAATTGCTTTCAATCTCATTGCTTTCAGTACTCTTACCTCGAATTATCTTCTTGCACTGCTTCTCAGTACGCCTTTATTTCTTCTAATGAGAAGAACCCATAGAAATGACTTGAGAGTTCTCTTACCCCACTGACTGACAATGCATTTTCTCCTATATGTCCACAGGATGTCTACACAGTGTCATCCTTCATATGCTAATTGAAATGGAAAAAAAGGCCTGTAGAAAATGTCAAATATTTAGAAAAATAAAAAGGAGACAAAATGTAATGTATAAAGTTATTATTGGGTCCATATAAACATATTTACCTCCAAATGTTAAAGTTATGTTATATTGACAGGAGACATAATGAATAATATTAAAATAATTTGCTGGACATCCACCAAAGGACACCATAATGCAAAATAGGTTTGAATTACAAAGAAGAGGAAATTAATATTAATTAAGAGATGTAATAATATTGAGGCCAACTTGTTTGTCCCCAGCCAAATCAGCAAATCTCTTTATCATTCTGCATAACTGGGGCGTTTGTTTCCAGCTCTACTATAAACACTGATATTTTTTTAATATTGCCAGCTCCTTTTCCCGTCCCTGTGCTGGTTCCATCATAGCATATCACAGTATGTAGATTCATACATATTGCAGTGTGGGACATTATTTCCGGCGGCATGTCCTTTAAAACCGCTCATCTCTGCTTGCGCTCCCTCCTCCACTGCCTTAAACCCGCAAACGCTATTTGCCTTCCAACATGTAGTTATTCAACATCGTGCGGCCATGCATTAATGAGGTTAGTCACACACACACACACACACACACACACACACACACACACACACACACACTATGACTAACCTCAGATGGAACACACCTGAGGTAGCAGCACTGATACAGCCTGAAATGACCGAGACTTAAAATTGTCTCAGGTTTACGGACACATCCAGCCGGCTAAACCAGAGAACCTGTCCAGCCTTTGCCCACATTAAAGAACAAAAAGTCCACAGCCACGTTTCCGGTGCCCCCATTTTGATCGCCACTGCACACGTGTGAGCTTCGTGACAGCTTTTGGGCCTCATGGAGGAAAAGTTCCATTGTGACCAGAGTCATTTTAGTTTATCCTCTCTACACCTACACATTGGTTGAGCTATTTCAATCAGGACAAAAGCAAACAGTCACTCCCATCTCTGGAGCTGTGACGTTAGCATGGCTAAAAACATTCATGTGAAACGTAAAACGGACTCTAATGTTTTTACTTTCAATTCCATTTGAAGTCATTACCTTAATGGTGTTTTGAATTCCCTTCTACGAACGCCACACCATAGACTTTGAGTTCTAGAAACTCTGAAATTAAATGATAACACAAGCCAATCTACATCGTTTTCCAGAAACTAAATTACAGCTGAGGTCACAATTTAAATTATTGCGACATAGCCACCAAAAGTATCTTAGTCCAGGCTCCAGTAACCCTGCTCTGTATGTCTGGCAGCAGTGTGCCCCGTCTCCTCCCCGGTGCCACTGTTCTCACAGAGCCGGCCAACAAACACGACTGCCTGTGGCCTAGATTACTTTGCGAACAAACTTTCCAGCCCGCGGAAGATGCAGAAGCAATGTAATCTGCTTCGGAACACCATCTGTGTTGCCAGAATTTCTTTCTCTTTATTGCTGTAAAGTAGCTCAAAGTCAACAGTTAAACTGAAGAAAAGCTTCTCACTTTACACGTCTTCATTAAGTTAAAGTCAGTCCTTGCCTCATGATAACTGGCACATTTTTTTCCCACTATGCAAAGTGACAGAGTCTCCCATATCTTTCCCTCTGGGACATTTTCTCCCTGACAGCTTACAGTTTTGTCATCACTTATTGTCTTTGTCACAGTTCCTCTCTAGCCTGGCGAGTCCCAGCTGTGAAAGGAGGGATGGGGTAGAGAGAGCAGCAAGCATTTCACATCCAGATGTTGCTGCTGCAGCCGTGGCCTCTGTGCGCTCCAGTGCACCACTACAAAAGCTCACTGTATTGTGTGGCCCCTATAGGGAGGCTCAGGTGCCAGAAAGAAGAAGCCAGAGGTGTCATGTGCCGTGTGTGTATTTATATGATGACTTAGATAGCTTTATGGGTTAAACACCATGAAAGACTGCTGATGGTTTTTAATAAATGTCTGTGGTGATGAGTTCCTGTTGTACGTACATCTCCTTCAGGCAATTCCTCAGATACTTCTTTAAATGCGGCCTAAAGCAGTGGTCCCTAACAACCGGGCCACTTGGTTCAGGGCTGCAGACGAAGAAGAAAATCACAATTACATGCGCTTTTCCCTTTTTTAGTCGTGCGCAGCAATTACTAACCCCCCCGCCCGCCTCCCGGTCCGCAGCGACCGTACGCCTGTTTATAAGCCACACCGCCATGAGCGGTTGGGAAAATATTTTCTAACAGAAAACCGGTCCGTGAAGCGAAAAAGGTTGAGGACCCGTGGCCTGGAGGAGGAACTGATTACATTTTGTGGATGTCTTTTGTTTAAACCTTAGACATTGATCATTTGCATGTGGCTGTGAGGTCTGTGTGGAGATGTCAGGTCTGTGTTCAGATCATTACTGTGCTCCTTTTTTTGTCTGCTCCATTTCACATCTGATTGGAGAGCGTGCTGGCCTGAACACATATCGGCAGAGCGTACTGACCATCTGCGCTCTGGTATTTCTGTCTGCTTCCTCCACGTGCTTTGGTCTTTTAGTATTCTCTCATCTGTTTTAATTGCCATCAGGGCTGGTCATAGATGTCACGGTGTGGTTCACTTCCTGTCTTATTTTGTAGTTTTCTGCCACTCGTGTCCCCGGGTAACTTCACTTCCTGCCTGGTCTCGTCATCCCCTGTGTTCCTCTAATAGTTTCCACCTGTGTCCAATCACCTGCACCTCCCTTGTGTATTTAAGCCGTGTATCTCCTGTGTCACTTGTCGCGTCATTGTCTTTCGTCTTGGATCGCCGTAGTTTCTCGTCTGTGTGCTTTTGCCCCCGGTTCCTGTTTTTTGAGCTTTGACTATTAAAGTCTTTTGGTTTTCTGCAAGTCTGCGTTTGAGTCCTGCCTTCCACCCCGCAACCCTGACAATAGAGGACTTTAGGTCAGGATGGAAACAATGCCGCAATGCCTCAAACACACAGGGGCAGGAGCCGGTGGAGGCAGCAGGATATGAAGTCTGAAGTTGCCGTGAGCAGTGGGGTATGATGTCTATTCCGTTTGATACAGAGAGTGACAAAACCCAAAGGCTAATTTGATGGCAGATATTAAAAAGATGGACAATAAGGCGACAGGAAATGAGCCATAAGGGGGCTCCAGCAAATAACAATACAATTTTTGGTTAATTACAACTTTGCCAATCATTGTTATAGGGTATCATTGTTCCTCCATGTTTATTGCTATTGCTCATGGGGCAAGAGGAACAAACTAAATTTCATGAAAATTGGGCCTGCAGTCTTTCAAAAACCCAGCTGACAAACAAACCGGCAAACCTAACTAAAAACATAACCTCTGTGGAGGCAATAAAATGTTGTCAATAATCCTGAATCATTCTTTAAAACCTTTTCAGAAGCATTGTGGCAGTAATGACAATGGAACCGTAAAGCTGCATATTGCATATGCAACACTTATTTTGTCAGATTTCTTATGTGTGGCTCGCCTGGGGCTCAGCTGGCTGACATCTGTCAAACCACCAGAAGCAGTGAAAACGCAAAGGGCAAATGACGGCAATCAGCAGTTAGGAAAGCAATGTTGAAATTCACCCGTTTTTGATGCGCCAACATTTCTTTGCTGGACTGTGACATTATTCCCATTGTCACAACACAGCAGCTGGCTGCCAGCTGTTATGACACCCACCCACAGCTAAATCTGTATGCATGACATCCTGATTATCTCTTTAAAACATGACTGTAATAGATTTTATTTTTAATAAAAGGGGTCGGGTGCATTATGTGCAGGGAAACATACTGGGAGATAAAAAGCCTCCTGCAGGCCACCCAATTGATTTCCTCACAGGACATAAGCAGATGCCCTGTTTGCTTACTTCACAAGAATTTATTGCAGCTATTATTTTTTTAAAGTTGATCAACCAATGAAGCGAATTAAGGCAAAACACGCACAGTTCTTTCCTTTGTGCTCTCGTTGTGAGAATATTTTATATTGAATAGAAGTCTATGAAAACAATTGGCCTGTTTCTCACTTGATGGGTTTGTGATGTGATGATGTGTTTTCATCTTACAACTTTAACCTTTTCATATTGTGTTTTCAGTTTAACTCCCCCGTCATGTTGCTTCAATCAGACAGCGCATTCAAATAGCAGTTAACGAACCAATAGGTGACGTAGCAGTGATATGGTTGGAAAAATACTTTATATGTAGTTTATTTAAGGATACTTAACCCTTTCACACCATCCACAGTGAGCAAGTGATTAGCAACAACTAGCAACAACGCGTTTCATTAATGCAATATTATGCTTCCGCTGTGGCAAAAATTCACTAAAAGAAAATTCACTAAAGCAACCATACGTTCTCCTTCCACTTCAGCATTTAAAATGTCACTGCCATTCTTTTTTATGT